CACCTCTAGCGACCTTCTGTTTGTTGTCGAACCTTTCCTCGTCCGGGTGCTGATTGATTCCTCCGTACGGCACCACTATCCATTCTGAAGGAGGATACCCGTTGTCGCCCAAGATGTATCCGTTCGTCCTCACCCCTCCTGGCAGCGTTATAGGCGGCCCGCGAAAAAGCGTTCCCTCTTCCGCGCACTTCGACAAACTTGACAGCTGGATCACCCGAATGTTGTGGCAGCTGCCAGTGTAGCCAACGAAGACGTCAAGCACACGCAGATCCAGGTCCACCACCACCTGCGCAATGACGGAGAAACGGTGCTTGTGGTCGAAGTAGTTCTCGCTCGGAGCGATTGCCGGTTTGTCCACGTAGATGTGTGTGCAGTCAACTGCGCCATGGCAGTTGGGAAAGCCCTTGTCCTGAAACGCTCGTAGCACCACGTGTTTACGCACCCCCGTCGGCCACGATATCTTGTCCCCGTAGACCCTCAACAACGCGGCTGTCACATCGCGCACGGCTCGAACTCCGGATGCTCTACCAATGTTGAACGATGATGTGTTGTTGTCGTACGACTCTCCTGTTGCCCACCTATACAGCGCGTACACCACGATCTGATCCGGCTGAAGCGGCTCCCTGTAAAACGTGACCTGTCGTTGCAAATGAGGCGCAGAGGCTTCGGTGATCTCCATGAACACTCTCCTCGACATGCAGAGCTTTTCCCGGAAGTAGTCATCCGTCGCGTCATCGCACACCCGCAAATCCTCCCAAGTCCCGCCAGTTCTCCGCCTCATCCAACAACGTGGCGTCGCCCTGGGAAGCACACCGGAGCCGATTGCAGAGCACAGCTGAACCACGGCCTCCGAAGTCGTGATGCAGTCCGGGGCGTCCAACACCCTCTGCAGCAGAAGCCTGTGTCGCCGCCTGGAAAGCACTGCCTTCATGCGGCCCGCCGCCCTCTCCGCTTCGTATCGACGGACTACGGCAACGGCAGCCGCCGTGACAGCTGTCCTCGCCGTCCGCGACAGCACAGCACGGCCACCCCCATCGCATCCCTCCATTCGCGCACGTCCACGAGGAAGAGCAATGTCCACCGCCACCCACCTGCGCGAATCAACGTCCACGGCGACGATCGAAGACGCCTACAACGAGGTGTGGAAGACAGGCATGATGACAAAACTTGCACCGCGATGGGAGCGTTCGTCCTCCGTCCCTGAACCACGGAAGCGCCGATCACATGGACGTGGCGAGCGCAGGCGCTGACACGCCGCTTCGTTTTGCCTGCGACGAATACACTACACACGGTGGCGGCGCGGTGCCGCTGAAGTATGAAACGCGACGTCAAGCCTGATCCCCCAGTCGACGTGCTCTTCCGCGTGTGTGCCGCCACACCGTCGTTCCGCGTGGAGAAAATTCGAATTTCGAATTTCGAACGGGGCCGTTCCCGCGTTTGCAATTTCAAATTTCCGCGGCCCGTGAAGTCTTGCCGCCATCCGGCTGGTGGACCACCGCGCCTCGCACACGGACATCCCGAATCGGAGGTCGGACAACACCCTCGCGGCCGTCTATAATCTCATGAAACTGGCCGCGGGACGGCCCCGAGGACGCATCCTCGGGGCTACTCTCCGAGGACAGGTGGAACGGCGCCTCCAAAAAAAAAAAAAAACTCCAAGGATTCGTCCTCGGAGCTCGAGGACGCTCCGAGGAGTGTCGAACGACGCCCTATCTCCACAGGACTGCAGAGGCGAGGTCTACCGTCTTCACCCGAATGGAACCCGGGCATTATAGCTGTATTTGGCACAACTTTCGGTCCAGATGCGGCGATAATGACCGGCCGTTCTATTCGGGGGTGATGATGGTAGTCATGATTATTGATTTTTTTCTTTTTTTTCATTTTACAAACCAACTTGCAATTCATTAGAGAAAGAAAGGGGGCCGGGAATCCCTCCACATACAACCCGGAAAACAGTAACCTCTGGGACCATTACCCAGTTTATGGTGCAGGCGTTGGGAATTATAGTCCAGTAGCAGATATGGCCGAATCCAGACCGCTGCCCTGACATTTCCCAACCCTGCGAATAATAAAAGAACGCCTTCACGGCCCGCAAAGCCAAACAATACCAGATTATTGATTTCTGACCGTCAATTACAAAGATAAAGGGTCAGAAAATGAATGATCTGGGCAAGTGGGACCTCGCCCCGGGATTGCCTTGTGACGTTTCATAAAAAAAAAAAAAAAAAAAAAAAAAAAGATTATCTGGAAAAGCAAGCGGAAGGGCAAAAAAAGGACTTGAGTACTTGGGGAGATTCTTCAAAATTGGAACGATACAGAGAAAGGGAAGATTAGCAAAATGGCCCCTGCGCTTTCATGGATGACACGCGTGGTTGGTTTGATATGGGACGCTGGACCTGGTTTCCAGCACAGTGGTTACGTCCTGATCATTGCATGGTTCAAAGATGTATAATTCAAAAGGGACGCTGGGCCCGGTTCCCAGCACGTGCCGCTGCCCACGAATGCATCGGAGCAATTAAAAAAAAACACGAATGGATCCGAGCAGTTCAAAAAAAAAAAAAAAA